AAGTCGAACATAGCCAAATGAAATATAAAAAAATATATATATATATATATATATATATAAAGTAATAGGAGGATGATTCTGTGATAATACGAGAATAGGAGAATATGATGCGAAAATAGTATATATCTATGTACACATCTGATAGCTCTGTAGTGCGTCAAACACAACCATGGATATATTTTTGCTATTATAACAAATAGCTTCGGGCATCTTTTTTTTTTGACAATTTAACTCTTTTTCTATGAACAATTTCATTTTATAAGTTGAATATAGATATCGCTGTACAAAGAAATTATATTTTTGAAATAATACTTGCTTTTTTAACAAACAATATATAAAAACATAATATATAATATATACAACATAACTACAAACAATATATTGGAGGTGAAATATATTATTAAAGGAATAGAAGAGAAGCAAGGAAGTAATCTCTCGCACAAAACAATTTTAATATATTACAAGTGATATCGAAGAAGAAATGAGAATGGAACTCAAGCATAAAAGTAATTGCAGAATTGGTTCATCGTAGGTTCCGCAAATCTGTAGGGACGAGCCGTGCCAGCTTGGGGTGGATGAGGCAGGTCGCGGTCCGGTTTTAGGTCCGATGGTTTACGGGATCTCGTATGCTCCGCTGTCGCGGAAGCAGTTGCTCGTCGATCTAGGCTGCGCCGATTCTAAAAGTCTGACGGAAAAGAAGCGCGATGAGATATTCGATGACATGTGCAAGCATAAGGACAGTATAGGCTGGGCAATCGAAGCGATATCGCCTAACGTTATCGCCAACAGCATGTATCGTCGTACCAAGATCTCGCTCAACGAGGTCTCCATGATCTCAGCCACCAAACTAATACAAGGGGCGATTGAAGCCGGGGTAAACGTTGCCGAGATTTATGTGGATACTGTCGGTAAACCGGAGTCTTACCAGGCGCGACTGAACGGCGTATTTCCCGGCGTGAAGATAGTCGTGGCGAAGAAAGCGGACGCAACCTATCCAATCGTCAGCGCGGCCAGTATATGTGCCAAGGTATCGCGAGATCACGCGTTGCGAGTTTGGCGATTTCGCGAGGGTGACTGTATCGGGACGGAATTTGGTAGCGGTTATCCCACCGATCCGGTGACTAAAAACTGGCTGTCCGCGAACGTGGACGGGGTATTCGGTTTTCCGCAGCTCGTTCGATTCAGCTGGTCCACTGCTGAACAGATTCTCGAGTCGAAAGCGCTGACAGTAGAATGGGAAGAAACGGAGGAAGCGGAGACGCCCAACGAGCAGAAAATTTCGAAGTTTTTCGCCAAGTCTCCGGCTAAATTGCCTAACGTTCATACGAAAAAACACCCTTTCTTTACGGAACGCTGTCTATCCAACGCAAGTATCTTATGATACATGTTTTATGTTGAAATTCTTCCCATTATAGCCATACAATTACGTTTTAAAGATATGATCAAGGAAAGAGAAAAATTTATAGGAATTATATATTTTATAGACATATACACTTTATCTTTAATATATTTAGCAATAACTTTTTTATATATAATTAATCGGGACACATATGATACATTTGGAATAAAAGTGGATTGGATAAATGTACTTTATTCTGAACATCTTCTATCGAAAATATTAAATATTCAGTATTGCTCTCTCGATGTCTTTCGTTAAGATTTTATTTTATTTTAGATTGATGTACAATATATTTTCGAGAGAAGCTTACGCGATTTACTAAAAAAAAATACCTTTCACACAGATTAGAATTCAAATGTCTGAGTTTTTTGTAAATCGATATTTTACATCGCGCATTTCACTTTTAGAATATTAAATTAAAGACAAGTATATATATATACCCTCCGGCTTATAATTTTATCTATATAATATATACATATTTACAAGAGTGTGCCCTTACAGCTACCATAGATAAAGAACGTCGCAGTTTTACTCTTACGAAATTTCTCTCTACATACCGTGCCACCGTGATATAATTAACAATTAGGAATGCTTAGCGTGAAAAGTCCGAAAAATCTTTGGTAAACGCACGCTACAAGTCACACATGTCGTACAATTATTTCTAGGACATTATCTCGTTAACGCACGATTAATAGCGACTAGATCGTTAAGGGCTACGGATGGTGGCGAACAGAAACGACGATTTGTTTGCGCCGCGTCTCACTGCCTCTTCTCGGTATGTATGCGCTGGGCCGATTCGTGTTTATTTTATTGATTTATACCGGGTACACACACGCGGGAGCGGCGTGTAACTACAGCGCGTCGCCCTCGTTTTCTTAACTAAACACCACGCCGTCCAGAATGCCGTGTACGACATACACCGATAATTAATCTTATGATAAAACACGAAACATTTTGTAGACATATTTTTTAGACATTTTAAAATAAATCTCTTTAACAAATATTTAATAAATACTTAACAGAATCAGCTCGAAAGTAACGAATAAAATATTTTAAAATATCGTGAATTATATTCCAATCAGTTTTTTCTGCGGGAAGAATTTTTCGAATATATTATATTTAAATTGTTATTATATTATATTATTGCAAATCAAATCAAAGTGCACTTGTACTCTATTGTCTCTATAATTCGGACGCAGGGCAGTTAATGAAAATTCGATAAAATGCAGATTTATCACGGTCTCGGTTTGCACTGTAGATACACGTGCTATTCGCACAGCGAATATTCAGACGAGGCGTATGTGTAATGTGCGTGTGCATACGAAGAAATCGATTTATGCACTTTACGCACGAGTCGCCGCAAGCGATATAAAGAGTCGCGACTTTGAAGTTTCATGATAAACGACCGATTGTGACGTGCGTAGCCTTTCGATGAATATACACACCGAGAATGTTCGTCGTTTCCTTCGTGTACTACACGAGAAATACGTAATTTACATAACGCGAAAATTAAACGACCAAGTCGCCGCAATGTTTCGGGGATTGTTTCTTATCGCCTTTAAAAAAAAACCAAAAATCCATCGTTTTTTTACAACGAAATCTCGCCCCTTTCCCCCTCCCCCTTTACTTTCCGCATATCCGAGTAAAGTTTAATGTACTGATAGATAGTATGTATCGTCTGCCTACAATTATTTACGTGGTTTCTAACTCCACTCTAATTGCAATTATAAAAAATATAAACAACATGGATAATTTATTACGTAATCGCGTCACATCGTGTGAGTGGCTTCTCCACGAGGCCTAGAGGATGAGCATGAAGGGCGGCGATTGGTATCCTCGATCCTTACCGTAGCGTCAGTAATCCCATGATTACGAGAACGACGCACGGTCGTGCCAGCGTTACACTTCCGCTCGCTGAAAAAGAAAGAAAGTGATAGATATATACGCCGTTTCTCGAGAAAGGAAGAGAGAGATTAAATTCATAAATATTCGGAAAAAAAAATTCAAAGCTTAAACTTTGCGCGAGCGGGGAGCTGAAGCCCAGTTAAGCGAGTTTAGTTAAAGCGATTTGTTGCTCAAGCGCGCTATAAGAGATGGCTGAATTAAGAGGGATCGACAGAGATTTCGTGTCCGCGAAATTGGATTCTTAATCTCTCTTGATCGCTTACACGTCGGTGTGATTCGGCAATTTTGAAAATTCCTTCCTGTTTCCTTAAAGGAAGGCCTGTCATTGAGACGTGTTTCGCGCAAAACGAGTTACGTGTTCGCGCTTTGGCTTACGCTAGACGCGGAACTAAAGCAACGTATTGAAGGGGGGGGGGGGGGGGACGGCGT